GCAGAGGGACACTTAGCATATTAGCCTTTTATATAGAGAGATGGAAGGAGGCACTGAAGGCAGTGATGGTGTTTGGAACCAGGAAATATAATATTCCTTGGGAAAGCTTGGACTAACCAATATTTTGTCTCTTAATAGACTAGAAAAAATGTTACATGAACCTCAACTCCATCAGGTTCTATAGAAGCTATTATGTGATTTCTCAGCACTTTCTAGATTCAGTATTACTAACTAAAAGAGTGATAACACATCTTTTCTTTTTTTTTTTTTTTTAATCCTCACTAGAGGATTTTTTCCATTAATTTTTAGAAAAAGTGGAAGAGAGAAGAAAATACAGAGAAATATCCATGGGGCCCAGGCCAGAGAGGAGCCTTCAACCAAGGTATGAGCACTTGACCAGAATTGAACCCAGGACCCTTTGGTCTGCAGGCCAATGCTTTATCCACTGAGCAAATTGGCTAGGGTCACAAATGCATCTTGAATCTAGCCAATCTGTTGAGATTTTCATCAATGCAGAAAAGTATTCCCTAGAATATTTTCATGGGTAGGCTGTTTAAAGCAGAGTATTTGCATTATTTTTAAAGTGTCAAACTTCATTGTAAATCATAGCCTATTTTACGTTGAGTTGTAACATTTTTCCTTTGTACATATGCTGTGCCCTTAACTTGACAATTTAGTCGAATGATCTTTTTGCAGTTCATCCATGTAATCACAGCATAACAGATGACCATTACAGGAGCAGAGTGGAAATGTATGGGAATGCACAATCTCCAGACAGGACTAAAACCAAATTGCATGCCAACTTGGTACCAATAGGGAGATTTTTGCTTTATGTACTGTCCAGAAAACTGCATGCCCTATTTAGCAAGAGATAGAGAGAACCAAATAAAAAAATCGTATCTATTCATATAATCTCTTGGTTTCTGTAAGATTTCTACTTCTTGAAAGAATGTAAATAAAATGACATTGTTGAGGAAATAAATAATTAATGCTATCAGAGATACATATTATGCATTTAAAATTTAATCCTCTAAAAGCAAACATATGCTTCTTTTTTTTAAGTATATTTTTATTGATTTCAGAGAGGAAGGGAGAGGTAGAGAGAGAGAGAAGCATCAATGGTGGGAAAATCATTGATTGGCTGCCTGCTGCACACCCCCAACTGGGAATTGAGCCCACAACCCCGGCATGTGCCCTGACTGGGAATCAAACTGTGACACTGTGACCTCCTGGTTCATAGGTTGATGATCAACAACTGAGCTGCACCATCTGGACTATTTTTCTTGTTGTTGTTGTTTTGTTTTTGTTTTTTTAATTGGAAACTTTTATTTACATATATTTTGATGAAGTCTTTTTTTTTTTTTTTTTTTTTTAAATGCAACTAGAAGCCGAGTGCACGAAATTTCACTGGAATTGTGCACTGGAATTGTCCCTCAGCCCAGCCTGCACCCTCTCCCAGGCTGGGACCCCTCAGGAGATGTCCACCTGATGGTTTAGGCCTGCTCCCCACAGTTAGACATCCCTCTAGTAGTCCAGGACACTTCATTCCTTACTGTCAGCCTGCTCATCAAGGGGTCCTTAGCACTGAGGCAGAGGTGGGAGAGGCTCCCACCACTGCCACTGCACTCACCAGCTGTGAGCCCAGCTTCTGGCTGAGTGGCACTCCCCCTGTGGGAGCACACTGACCACCAGGGGGCAGCTCCTGCATTGAGCTTCTGCCCCCTGGTGGTCAGTGCTTGTCATAGCAACCACTATTCAGTTGATTTGCATATTACGGTTTTATTATATAGGATATTAATATATATACAGAAAATGTGAGTATTATAGAAAAGACAAAAAAGGCATTTCCATAATTTCATCACTCAAACAAAACTTTGTTCAAGTAAACATATTTTTCTAAGGTGTACTTTTTTAGTAGTCTAAATAACACACCCATAGTTCTACTATGGGATCTTTACATATTCACATTATTTCTAAAGCTATGTGTAATATGCAGCATCTTAAAATAAAGTTGGTTAAAACAACTTTTCGTATAAGAAAGCACAGCTACATATCCAACGACTGAAGAGGAAAGGAGTAGATTTAATTATTGTTCCCAATTCTTTTCTTTTCTTCTTTAATCCTCACTTGAGGATATTTTTCCATTGATTTTTAGGGAGAGTGAAAGAGAGAGGAAAAGAGAGAGAAATATCAATGTGAGGGAAACACATTGATTGTTTGCCTCCTGCATGCACAACTACTAGGGCCTGGGCCTGAGAGGAGGCTGCAATCAAAGTATGTGCCCTTCATGGGAATTGAACCCAGCACTATTCGGTCCGCAGGCTGACGCTCTATGAACTGAGCCAAACTGGCTAGGGCTATTCCCAATTCTTCATTCCTTCCCTCTAACAGAATTTTGCACACATGTTTTTATTGTGCAATTGTGTAGTGCCTGTTAATAAAAGAGGTGGAATTTACATTTCTACCTCATTGACTTTGAGCTTCTCCATATGACTCGCTCTGGATAATGACTAGTGAGTAGATGTGATGCCAGGGAAAACTTTAACTGTGTTGCTGTGCTTTGGCTTGGCTTCTTGTCTTTCTGTGCATGAACTACAAACTGCTCCTCACAGAATGAAAGTCTAATGGAGGAGACCTAGATCCAACCTATAGCCTGAAACCAAGCCAACCAGATTGACCTGAAAACCTGTCATCAAGAGAAAAGAATCTTTTAAGCCATTGAAATTTAGGAGTTGTTTTGCAGCATCATTGTAGCAGAGACCTGATATTTTTATAAAATCTTTATTGATGAAAGTTTTACATATGTCCCGTCCCATTTTCCCCTATTGACCTCCTCTACTAGCCCCACCCCCATCCCATCCCATGCCCCAGACCTTCACCACTCTACTCTCTTTGTCCATGGGTTATGCATATATGCATACAAGTTCTTTAGTTGATCTCTTCCCACCCACCCACCCCACCTTCCCTCTGAGATTCTGCCTTCTGGACTATGCTTCTAGAGACCTGAGTTTTACAAGGAGAACTAAGAAAACCAAGGCCCAGAGGAAGAAAAGAAACTTTCTCAAGGTTATGTAGCAAATCACAAGAAACTCAAAGGTAAAACCTACCTATTCTCATTCCAAGTACTTTATCTCCTTGACTAATCTATTATTTATTTATTTTTGCTAAAGAGAATAACATTTTCTTATATATGTGCATATATATGGCATCCACAAATTATGATGAACTTAAAATTTTAAGAAGGAAGAAAAATTAAATTTTAAATACCTATTCAAATGAACAGAGGCAGCTCTGAGTATACCAGAACTCAGAAAATCTGGGTTAGATATCCATATAGTGTTTTACCATGTATTTGCTCACTATTGTGCCTTATTTTCTCTGAACCATAGTTTGTTAATTGCTGATAAGAGTTACCATACTTTTTCAAAGGATCCGTGAAAAAACATATTTTAAGTAATGAACTAGTAAGTGACAGGCCATCCATGGTATGTCCTAAAATTTTTGTATTAAATAAAAATTTATTTTTAACATCCTAAGATATTAGATGAAAATAAAATGTGATTGCTCATTTACACTTTAAAGTCCATCATAGCTGATCACATCTGAAAGATCAATCAGGAGCTGAACACCAGGTATTACAGGCTTTATTAGGAGAAAGACCTGCCAGGCTGTCTGACAGGGGGAATGCAGCAACCCGTGCAGAGGTGAGCACTCCTTTTGAGGGAAGGAATGTAAAGGAATGGGGACTTAGGCTACTCAGAGTGCACTGATTGGTGGCTTAATGTATGGTCCACAAAAGGAACATACTTAGGCACTCAGGTACTTAGGAACAAGGGCCTAGGATATTTGGCAGGTGCCGATTGGTGGTTCAATGTATAGTCCATATAAGGTAAATGGTTGGGCACTCAGGAATTCCGGGCTGCAAGTTATGTCATACTCCACCCACCAGTTGCAGGAAGGAAGGATCTATCATTCTAAACTTTTGGTAATAGTAAACAAATTTGAGTCCAGGCAAGGTCAGGGGGCGAAGGTCCATCTTCAGTAGCTGCTTCCTGCTGAGAGAGGACAGCGTCAGGGGCATCTATCAGGGTCTCAAATATTCTGGTGGCATAAGTGTCTCTAGGTTCTGAATTCAAGACCAGATAGATCTCTCCCAGCTTCTGCTTGGCGAACATCTGCATTCTGTTCTGCAAAAAAAAAACTAGTGAAACAGCACATGAGAGAGGGGCCAAAGAGCAAAATTAAAAGAATAAATACCAGTGGGCCTACTAGTGGGAGGAGGCATATAGTAAGTGAGCCAAAGATGACATACCCCCCTTCTAGCTCGTTATGTCATCTTTGGTCAATCCTGCCCCAGAGGGATTTAATGTGATCTTTGACAATTCCTGATTCATTTACAAAGTAGCAGTATTCTTCCTCAATAAAGACACAGGTACCCCCATTTTTCTGCTGTTAAGAGATCTAAAGCTTGCCAGTTCTGTAGGGCTACTGCTGCTAAGGAGTCTGCCTGCCTTTGAAGGGATTCAAGGCAATTGCTAGTGATGGAGATATCTTCTTAAAATTCAGTAGACAATTTGTGGTAGAAATGAACAGAGGAGGAAATGCCTCATACTCCTGTCCCTACTGCAGTGAGGACTCCCGTACCCCATAAGAGGGAAAAAGAACCAACCTTTTGTGTAAGGCCTGAGAAGACCCAAAGAGGATTCAAGTTCTCCCTCTATTCTGATAGAAAGATTGGGGGTTAGGAAGACATAAAGGCAGAGGGAGTGTGACAGGTCCTGAGGAACACAGAGGAGAAAAATACCCGGTGAGGGGCAAGCTAAGGGAGAGGGTAAATTTATAGATTGTGCACAGTAGTAAGGTGTAGGAGTAGTTGAGGTAGTGGTTTGAGAGGTATTTGTTAAACAGGTAGTATTTTCTGTATTAAAGAGAGAGATGTTGTACATGGTGCGTTGAGGTTTGGTATAGGTAAGAGTAGCTATGATGAGAGTTCAAGCCAGTGACTGACAAATCCAACAGGATGTAAGAGAGTAGATGGAAGGCTGTGTTGATGAGGGTGGGAAAAGGAGTAGGTCCAGAGTTCATAGGACAAGAGAGAATGTCCTTTAGTGGGGGAGGGATAGGTCTGGAATTAATATAGGTTTTGAGGAGGACAATTGTACCCCCATGATCCTTGTCCCCTCCATATATTCTAATTCCTGCTGGTTGGGCCTGGTTCCACAGTGATTCTGCTGGATTTGATATGGTAAAGCTGACAGAATTACACGTAAGGGAGCCACAGTCTGAGGGGGATCTGAGGTTTACTAGTGACTATGTAAAGTGCCAGAGTGGTAGTGAGAACACTGCCAGTATGGGCAATAGAACTCCTCTATATTGTCACAGTCTTCCTTCTGGCGGTATTTCATACATAGATATTTGTGGTTGGTGGCATAGCTCAGATGCCACCCACTGCAACTAGACCACCTCGGGGCCATGGCTGCTAAGGCATTGAAATAGAGAATGACACTGGCGTGTTTCCCATCCCAGATAGTAGAATTAATGACTCCCTCATCATCCCAAGACCGTTTCACCTGAAAAGACCAAAAACCTCCATTGGTGCATTCATTGTTAGCTGCCCATAGGAGGATTATGGAGAGAGGATGAGACATGTAAAAGGAAATAACAAACCTGAACTTCTTCTGGAATAAAAACTCAGAGGATCCCTTTCCAGGAAAGATCTACTATCCATGAGTGTAGGTCTTCTGGGGAAGCAGATTGCAGTCGCCACCAGGACCAGTCCTCCAGGATGCACTGCAGGAAATAACAGAATTTAGCCTGTGAGGATGGGTCATCAGGTCCTGGATGGTGCCACTGAGTCCTCTTTGGGGATGATGGGGAGACATTTGGTGAGCCTGAGAGAGACAGGTCCTGTGGGGGTAGAAGTGTAAGAAGGTAGTGTTTTGTGTAGAGGTTTGTATGGCTTAATGTGTGAGAGGTGATATCAGTGGTGTATTCCTCGTTCCTTTGCTGTCACAGGGGTAGATAGTAGGACTGGGAAAGGCCCCTCCCATGTGGGTGTTAAGGATGACTCCTTTTTTCTTGACATAGACCCAGTGCCCAGGAAGGACTGAGAGGTGAGTAGAAGTTGTAGGAAAGGAAAGGGGGAGGAGATTATCAGTGTGTTGCTTTAAGACTGCCCTCCTATGGGCAAAAGCAGGGAAGTAGTCTCCCAGAGATGGGTAATTGTTCTCCGGGGTTTAGAGGACAAAAGCTGCCTATACATGATCTCGAAGGGCTTAGAAGTAGTGGTTGTCGTGGTATGGCCCTCAGTCTCATTAGTGCCAGTGGGAGTAGTTCAGTCCAGGGCATACGGAGCTCTAAGAATAGCTTGGTTAGATGGGTTTTTAAGAGATGATTGGCCTTTTCTACTTTACCTGAAGACTGAGGGTGGTAGGGGATGTGGAGGTTCCATTTGATGTTTAAAGTTTGAGAGACCAACTGTATTATCTGAGAGACAAATGTGAGGCCATTATCAGATTGAGGAGACATCAGAAAGCCAAAGTGGGGGATGATGTCGTGGATGAGAGATAAGAGTACAGTGGTGCCTCACACAACGAACTTAATTCGTTCCAGGAGCAAGTTTGTTATGCGAAAAGTTCGTTATGTGAAATGAGTTTTCCCATAACAATACATGTTAAAAAAAATAATTCGTTCTGTAGCATAAAATATGCTAAGATGACTTAAAAAAAGATAAATTTTTTGTTATTATTTTTATTTAGATACATCATGATATAAAAAAAATATTGAGTTTAACTTAAAAGGACGACTGCCGTGATACGTGCGTGATTTAATTCGTAATGAAGAACGATTGCCGCGATACGTGCTTAAGTTAAGCACAGTGACTAACGACTGCCTGCAGTGCCTGCGCGGAAGGATGCAATACATCGGCAGCGATCGTGGAAGCTCGGGCGAAGCAGTCGTGGAAGCTCGGGCAAAGCGGTCGTGGAAGCTCGGGCGACTTCGTTGTGTGAAACGAAGTTCGTTATACGAATCATGAAAGGAAGTTCGTTGTGTGCAGCGTTCGCTGTGCGAGGCGTTCTTTATGCGAGGCACCACTGTACAGGTTCCCATACAGCTGATGGGGAGACAGATGTATGTTATTTCCCCACAGAAGAAGAAAAAGCCCTGATCACGGGGACAAGCTGAAAGGCATAAGGAGAAGAGGTGGACTAAAGGGCATGAGATTCCCTTTTCCAGTTCCACGCTCCAAGCTGAAGTGTAGTCACTATGGCGCTACCAATAAGGGGTGACAGATGAGTGTTTGAGATTGTATTATAGGGAAAGTGTGAGGGAATGTTAGAATGGGCTGTAATCCAAGGGAAGGAAAGGAGCAGTGGAAGCCAGGTACCTAGATGGTTGGATAAGAAGTAAGACACTGCACTCAGAAAATATACATTCAACAAAGTACAAGAGGCTTTCTGTAATAGAAGCTAAGAGCAGGTGAATTAAAACATGTTTAGCAATCAATGTGTCAGTATTGTATGCTATTTAAAAATATTTAGAAGTTTACCATTTAACCCAGCAATGTTCCAAAGTCCCTAAGTTAATAAAGACTTTGGAAAATTATGTACAGGTATATGAGGCTGGAGAAAAGGCAGGGGGAGGAGGGAGCAGGCCCTGAAGCCTGTTCCCAGGCCTCTAGCTGCTTGGATTCAAAACTGCTACATTTTTCTGTAGAGATAACATGCTAAGGTTTGGGAGATAATGAGCTGTTTCTGATAATAGCCAGCCTGGTAAGTAAGCCTGTGCAGTCAAGAAAGTGGTTCTTTGGGAAGGGTGGAGTGGGGGTGAGGTGGGGTGAGAAGGCGCTGAGGTCAGAGCAGTTTTCAGAGCATTGAAGGAGTGAGAATGTTGGCCTTGGGATCTAAAGGCTCAGTTAGGGGCTCCCTTTACCATGTCATGTCACAGGGGAGCTTTGCAAGAAGACGAAAGTTGTTAGCTCAGAGGCAAGAGTACCAAGTGAGCCTGAGAAAGGAGAAAATTTCTTGTTCAGAGGAGGGGACAGCCATAGAGGAGATAAGGTGTTTACAGCCCAAGGAATGGCTCCGCCTTGTGGAGTGACAGGGTGAAACTGAGGTAAGTGACTGTGGTTTGGGAAAACTGGGCTTTATGAGGGGATGCATGGTAGCCCTGGCCACGTACCAAGGTAGAATGAGAAAAGAGTGAATGGGAGATTTAGTAAGTTGCAGTGTAGACATGAGGTGGCTAATGGCTGTGAGACTGATCTGTCAACCCCCATAATAGAGACTGAGGAGTGGACAAGGGTCCCAGTGAACTCAAAGAGGGCAGAATAAGTGGCCCCAGACCCAGTTAAAAAGGAGACCGGCTTACCTGCCACCACAGTCGTTACCCAAGGCTATGTCCTGGTGATGTAAGTCTGGGGGCCTTGTCAGGGCTTGGGCAGATTCAGTCTTCAGTGGTCAGTCCCAGGAGGTCTGGTAACTCCAAAGTGGATCCAGAGGGTGGCCTTGGTGGACTGGCTGAGGCCTGGACCAGAAGGGCCAGACTACAGTCTGATTTCCAGTGGCCTTTCCTTGGGCAGGGCCCAGATGGGGGTCTAGGGTTTGGGTAGGACTTGGCTCAGTGTCGTTCCTTGCTGCATTTGAAGCATGGGCCCGGAGGAGGCTTAGCCCCTGACTTATCCACGGTTGGAGGACCGGCACTTGGTTTGGGGTTCCTGAGAGTGGTGAGTAGGAGCTGGAAGGCTTCCTTCTGGCCCTCAGCCTTGGCCTGATCTTGCCTTTGTTTCTAGATTTGGTTATCCTCATCTCTATTATTAAAGACCTTCAATGTCAGATTAATGAGATCTTCTTGAGGGATTAGTGGACCTGTGTCTATTTCTCAAAGTTTATGGTGTGTGTTGGGGCCTGACTGGGAATATAAAATGGGTGTTTAGAAGAAGGGTTCCCTCTGGGGAAGTGGGATCTGAGGTGACAGAGGAGGACAGAGGGACATAGATGATGTCATGCCAAGTCAGGACATAGGACTGGGTCAGGCTTCTTAGTAAAGTTGGTCAGGTCAGTGGAAAAAGACCTGAGATGCCTCTCAATCTGTGTGAGGCTGTAGACTCAGACTATGTCCTCAGTTCCTGCTGCCTCCCTCAGCGGCAGAATGGACCCAGGAATAGAAGAGGCTGTTGAGGAAGGCAGTCTTTGGGTGGCCTGAGAATGAGTGTTAGATGGGAAAGGCTGTTTAAAGCTAACGTTCTCAGGATTGGGGTTCTCAGGGACTGGGGAGAAGGTGGCTGATGCTTAAGAGGTTTTAGGAATCTACTGCAAGTGAGGGAGAAAATATATAAGGGGGTGGGGGCTGGTGGGAGAGGTGGAGAGGAATGATTGGCTGTCAAAAGTGTCAGAAGACAGAGAAAGGGGCTGAGGACCAGTTAGGGGGTGAAGGGGACTTTGCAAGGAAGGTATGATGGGTGGAACATGAGGAGCAAAGCGAGGGGCGGGAGCAGGGGAAAAAGAAAGACTGTACGTAGGAGATCTCTGAGGCCTTCCCTGTTTGGTGGCAGAAATTATCTAGGTCTCAAAGGATATTGAAATTGAGAGTGCCCTTTTCGAGCTATTGAGAGCCATTATTGAGTTTATATGGTGGCCAGGCAATGTTACAGAAAAAATGAGCTTCTTTGGTTTGATGTAGCCAGAAAGACCAAGAGTCAAGAGATTGGTGAGGAGACAGCCTAAGGGTGTGTTTCCAGGGGGTTTGGGTTGAGAGGTCCCCATGACTGGAGGGAAGGGCTATCAGAAGTTGGGGAAGGAACAAGAAATGTCCTCCTGTTCCCCTCACCCAACCTGTAGAGAGAGAGAGCCGGGAAAAGGTTTCAAGATCATCAACCCGAGACTTTTTTCCTGTGGAGTAGAAGAGTATTCTTGCCAAAACCGGTTTGGCTCAGTGGATAGAGTGTTGGCCTGCGGACTGAAAGGTCCCAGGTTCGATTCTGGTCAAGGGCATGTACCTTGGTTGCGGGCACATCCCCAGTATGGGGTATGCAGGGAGCAGCTGATGGATGTTTCTCTCTTATCAATGTTTCTAACTCTCTATCCCTCTCTCTCCCTCTCTGTAAAAAATCAATAAAATATTTTTTTTAAAGAGTATTTCTGGCCAAGCGCCTGGGCTTTCTTAGTATGAGTACCCAAGTAGATGGGAAACTCTGAGACCCTAATGCCCCTCTAGGTCACAGGGAGCGAGAAAAAAAGTGTGTGGGGGTGGGTGGTAAGTTGGGTCCAAAGGCTTACTGGAGGGAGAGAGGGAGGTGAAGAGATCCCCACAGGCCCTGGTTCAGCAGGGTTCAAGAGGGGACTGGGATAGGCCAATTAACCCAGAACTGCACCACCGAGCAAAGTCAGGGAGTTACTTCCTTGAAATGCTTGGGATAAGGTTTGGGGATTCGTCCGAGTCCACATTTGCCCCTCCCAGGTTTGGCACCAGAATGAAAGACCAGTCCTGAGCCAAAAAACAGGTATTACAGGCTTTATTAGGAGAAAGACCTGCCAGGCTGTCTCACTGGGGAGAGCAGCAACCTGTGCAGAGGTGAGCACTCCTTTTGAGGGAAGGAATGCGAAGGAATGGGGGCTTAGGGTACTCAGTGTGCACTGATTGGTGGCTTAATGTATGGTCCATAAAAGGTACATACTTAGACACTCAGGTACTTAGGAACAAGGGCCTAGGATATTTGGCAGGTGCTGATTGGTGGTTCAATGTATAGTCCATATAAGGTACATGGTTAGGCACTCAGGTATTTCTGGGCTGCTGGTTATTGCCCACCAGGTGGGAGAAGAGAGGGTCTATCAACATCTTCCTCTTTAGAGCTTGTAATCTAAGGTAAGTGTCATTAATATAGATGTGAATTTGGTAAAATTTTATGGGTTCCCAAATATTCACCTATTGTTAACAGAAAGCTGAAAAAAAAAATCTATTCAGCAGCATTTCATTCTTCTGCTTCATAATTAAAAGTGCTTTGAGCCGAAACCGTTTTGGTTCAGTGGATAGAGCGTCTGTCTGCGGACTGAGGGGTCCCAGGTTTGATTCTGGTCAAGGGCATGTATCTTGGTTGCGGGCACATTTCCAGTGGGGGGTGTGTAGGAAGCATCTGATCGCTGTTTCTCTCTCATCGATGTTTCTTTCTATCCCTCTCCCTTCCTCTCTGTAAACAATCAATAAAATATATTTTAAAAAGTGCTTTGATATTACAAACAATTTTGTAAAATAGAGAACAAACAAGGAAATATGCCATATAAAGCAAGGTTTAAAGAATTTCTCCTTCATCAGCATTTTTGGAGTTTTGCTACTCCTGGAATCAATAATAGAAGCAGTAGCGTTGCAACTGTTCTTTAACAATTTCTGAAAGGAAATTTTTCTTTGTTTACTTTATTTGAATTTAATCAATAGAAAATATCACAAAAAGGTTGTTTTTCATGGTCAACTAAGTTGACACAACTCAGGATAAAATACTTTTCCAGTTATTTAAGAAATCTGCTGAGATGCAAATTTACAATTGGTACAATTTTTGAACTCATAGTCCACAATACATATGTCTTTCTTACAGTTTAAAGTAAAATTTGTGGAACCTCATTAAAAAGTAGAATATTTAGAGTCAGGTACTATTATTTTCAATATGCCTGAAAATTAGAAATAATCAGTAGTGGGTATTTTCCTAACAGGGTCTTTAAGTAGATATAATTACTCTGCAATACAAACCTAAGAGTGAATTGAATGTGATCAGCCCCCAACACACTAAAAATAGGCAATTTAAGTCTTAATCTGATTTCAATCATGTACATTTCAGTTAAGTTTCCAAGCCCAGAGGTCTACAACCAGTGAAGGGAATAAAACAGGAAATGCAATGGTGTTTCTTATACTATTTATGGTCTGGCAGAAAAAAGTTAACCATCAAGTATCCTTACGCCTTAAATAAACTTAAATATTTCAGATGAGTAGGCAATATATTCCCAGGGAAATATAACTTCCTATGAGATCATTTAAACATAAATCTATTTTAAAATTTCCATGATTTTCACAATTGTTAAATTAATGATTTTAATAGTAATTAGTAAATTAATAGGTTAATAAAGTTATTCTGGATAATAGTTATATTTTATTGGTATATACTGGGATACATATTGGTATTATAAACATACAACCATTTTTCTTAAATGTAAGTTGCATAACATGATGTAGAAAAATCCTAATTTTTCCTTTTTCTCCTGAGAAAAAATCAAGGTCACAGTCCCAGGTTATCTCTTATTCTCTAAACATTAGGATTGCAAAAATAATAAAAATGAGGGTGAAAATAAAAATAATGCTAATCACTGGAAATTAGAAAGATTAATCATGATGCGTGCCTACTGTTTCAAATACATCTATGTTTGGAAGCATTTGGAAAAGCCTTAGAAATTTCCAGAGGTCTCAAGTTTTCTTCAGTGTTTGCACTAAACTTGAACTAGTTTAATAAAACATGGAAACCTGGAAAGTTTTCACAGTGCTCCTTTTTTTTCTGTGTAGAAGTTTGGAAATGATTCAAATGATTAAAAAGTTATATAGATATAATTCCAATTTATAAAATTAATATTTGAGAAACAATTAATTTTGGCCAAAGAAAAGATGACAGCTGAAACACTTTGAGAAACATTTTGAAAGGGAAACTTCCTTTTATTCTGGAAAACTATCCTATATAATAAGAGAGGAATATGCTAATTATTTGTTGCACCATGGGGCATAAATGACCAACCTTGTAACAACTGGATCACGGATCTGTAGGTGGGTGGGGCAGCGAACTACAAGTGGATGGTGAAGAACTACAGGAGGGGACCAGGCAGCAAGCTATGAGAGGGGGGAAGAAGTGGGGATGGGAGGACCTACAGGATGGCTGGGCAGTGTGTGGAGAGCTACAGGAGTGGGAAGGGCAGCAAGCTATGAGGGGAGGCGGGGGAAGCTATAGGAGGGCGGCAGGGAGCTACTGGTGCACAGATTATAGTACAATATCATTTTAGGGCTTTTAACCTCCTCTCCAGGCTTGTTTCTCACTCCTTCATACAGATAGTTTACAGCCACCCTGAACCAGTGTGGTTCTTACATTACCTAACGTTGGTTAGGGTACCTGTGACTTTGCACATGCCACTGATTCTTTCCAGACAATATTTGTGCCTCACTATGATGATTCAAGTCAAGGATCAGATCTTCTGAAAAGCTGTCCTTTCCTGACCCCCACTCATTGTTATGTGCTTCTTTTGTGCACTTATTGAATCCTATATTCTCGTTAAAGCAGTTCTTTCTCACATCTTCTGTATTATTATTTTCCTGTCTACCTCTCCTCTAAGAAAGTGCTCTCCAAACTTCTAAAACCTAAAAAAAATTTAGATATTGATTTTAGAGAGAGAGGTAGGGAGATGGATAGAGAGACAGAAGATCAATGAGAGAAATGTTGATTGGATGCATCCCACATGTCCCATACTGGGGATCGAGCTTACAACTTGGGCATGTGCCCTGACCAGGAATAGAATAAGCAACCTTTTGGTTCATGGGTCAAACATGACTACCACTGAGCCATACTGGCTGGGTATGCTTTAAAACTTTCTTAACATGTACTCCTAATAAACATATGCAATATTTTGCATATGTTTTATATATAGATAGATAGATATAGATATAGATATAGATATAGATATAGATATAGATATAGATATATAGATAGATATTTAGATATAGATATATATATATTGATAAATATATCCCTTGATAATATTTAACTCACATATATGCATCCTAAACAATGAATATAGAGTATAATTTTAACATATCATTCCTTTAGTTTTTTTTAAATTTTTTAAATTTTATTGATTTTTTACAGAGAGGAAGAGAGAGTGATAGAGAGTTAGAAACATCGATGAGAGAGAATCATTGATCAGCTGCCTCTTGCACACACCCTACTGGGGATGTGCCCGCAACCAAGGTACATGCCCTTGACCAGAATCGAACCCGGGACCTTTCAGTCCGCAGGCCAATGCTCTATCCACTGAGCCAAACCGGTTTCGGCCATTCCTTTAGTTTTGTGTATCAACTTGGTCTCTCTTGAGGTGTAAGCTCTCACTTTATGGACCACCCCTCTAGGTGATCATTTCCTTTAAAGCAGATACTTCAAAAAATTATATGTAACTCTAGCACTTGTGTTTGATGTATGTTAAATGCACA